AACTTGGTTTCGGGCAAAGCGGTGTGGCCGGTTTAGGGTTAAGGGTTTAGGGTTTAGGGACACGGAAGCTTAGGACATCCGTGCAGTCTACGCGCCCAGCCTTTCGGAGGAGAACTTAGCCGAAGGAATAGATGCTGTAGAGAAAACGAGTCATACTTTTTGATGTTTAGACCTTTGCTCAAGTGTAGGGTTCCTGCAATTATAAGTGTACTTACCTTATTTATAACCCTAGTTACTAAGTCCCATGAACCTCTAAGAAGGGTTGAGGCCAGGTTCGGAGCCTGAGTTTGGGAGCTTGGTCCTTATGAGTTTGGGGCTGTCGCGGCGCCGAAACCCTGAATCCCCCCGCAGAAAGAAGTTAAAATGACTGACATGCCTACACTGTATGCAAAAACACGCATAAAGTCCCGAAAAGCAACCTGAAAAAATTAACAAAAGCTTATCCCGAAAGCCTGCGCCACACTCTGCTTGTCCAGGTGCTCCTTTGCGTCGCTGAGTCCACGAACGAGTGCACTTTGGAAGAGCGTGCAGCGGCCTTGGCATTCGGCATTATGACCAGTCTTGACCAGGGCTTGATGTAGAGGCCGTAACAATTAGCTATAGTATTTTGGGGGTTCCTTACTATAATTATAGTAGAATGGACCCCAAAACCCTATTAAGGCCCCTACATTATTCACAAAGTGATTCACAAAGATTTATAAAACAATCTCAGGGGGGCTCAAGAGTTCTTCGACTTAGGAGCTGGTTAGGCAACCTTTTAACCTTTTGGGGCTTATATAAGGCTCCTACAATGGTTCTGTAGGGGTTCTATAAGAGTTCTTTGGAGGGTTCTTAAGGGTTCTATAGGGTCTATCTACCATAATTCAATAGGTTGACCTTTTTTGGGCTAGGGTACTCAGCCTCTAAAGAGATTTTGTGTGTGTGTGTGTGTCAGTGACGACTGCTACTTCAATGTTCCAAGTTGCTTCTAGCTTATCCTGTATGTGTGTTACCATAGCTGCCTACGACAAGTTTCTAAGGACTACTGCTGCTGCTGCTGCTGCTGCTGCGATACGCATCGTCGTTCACATGAGTGCGCGCAGTTTGTTTTGCATGTTACGGATGTTTCTTGTGCAATGTTTGGCAATCTCGTGGTTCCTCAGTGGGCGGAGGGGACAAGAGTCGCTACCGCTGATGGACAAAATCCTGCATTACCCACTATAAGGAATTTACCATAGTTCCCATAGTTTAGGGTCCTTAGGGTCATGCAGGATTTTGTCCATCAACAGTATCACGGTGCTGATGAAAGCATCTGCAACAAGAGCATGTGCTGCTTGCTGCTGTTCTGAACATGATAGACAACCCTAAACCCTAAACCCTAAGGCTCTGAACCCTAAGGCCCTAAACCCTAAGGCCCTAAGGCCATTAACCCTGAGGCCCTTAACGCTACTCAGCTTTGCATGGCTGAGCTTAGAGTCGGAGCATGGGGCTCGCGGACAGCTTGGCACGACATGGCTTTTGACCACGAAACTGCCCACATGTATGATGATACCCAAAACTCTTAGCCCCACAATCCCCACCTTCTATAAATCCCAAGAAAATGTAAACCTAGATTCTAAAGCCAAAACCCTACAACAAAACACCCTGAATCCCCCACAAAATGTAAACCTAAACTTTAAAGCCCAAGCTCTACAATAGCATCCCTGAAACCCCAAAAAGGTAAACCGAAACTTTAAAGCCGAAACCCAAAATAAAACCCTCTACATCCGCAAAAAATGTCAACTTAAACTTTAAAGCCTAAACGCTACAATAAGACCCCCTAAATCCCCCAAAAGAGTGAACCTAAACTGTACAGCCTGAACCCTACAATAAAGCCCCCTAAATCTAAACTTTAACGCCTAAACCCAATTTTTGGGGGCCCATTCTACTATAACTATGATAAGGAACCCTAGAAAGGTGCGCTGAACCCTAGAAACAAAAAGGGTCATGGGAGTCAGGAACTAGGGGGAAAATTAAGGTAGCTATACTTGTAATTACTAATAATCCCCAATAAGGTACAAAAAGAGCCTTACTTACTAAGTGCCATGATGCTCCAAGAAGGTGCGCTACCTGGATCAAGCACGCCAGGCCGGTTCTTGCTTTCTTGACTGTGGTTTCTGTTTTCCATAGGAGTCATTTAGGGTTTAGGGTTTAGTTAGGTTTCAGTTTCATTATAGCTATATAAGCGTTTAGGGTTTAGGGTATCAACCGAAGGGATTATGACAAAGGTTCTTTCGATTTCGTGTTTCATGGGCTTTGAGTCTACAGCTCCTGGAGAGTTTGGCAGTGGCTTGCCTCATAAATCTTCTACTACGGCGGGATTAAGGGTTAAGGGTTTCTTCGAAGTGCTGAAACTCGCAATGCGAAGGCTAGGTTTGATGATGTCCGACAATGCTGGCATCAGGGCCCCCCATGCCTCGTTTACCCTGCGAGCTGAACGGTGTGTCGCTTTTGGAGATTTTGCATCTTGCCCGCTCAGCATTGATCCAGGGGCTTCTTGTTTTCTGAACCAACATCGGTGTCATTCTGTTACATAGTGGAAAGAGTACGAATCTGGCTGAATCGTCCACAAGGCTCTGAACATGCACGCAGAGACGTACACAAAAGCAGATAGGTTGCATAACGAGCTGCTTGAATTCTTGGGAAGCGGAAACTCCTTGCAACACTTCCCTGGATTCAAACTCCTAAATCGAAACCCCTCCACCTGGCACTACCAGAGTCCACCTGCCTGATGTAGCTTAAGCCTTCCAGACTGTTATCCCTGGCCCCCCATAAGAAGCCCGAGACCACGAAACACGCTAATAGAGGAGCCTGCATAATTACCTATACTATTTTGGGGAATTCCTTACTACAATTGTAGTGTCATGAGACCCAAAGCCCCGTTCTAATTTCTAAGGCCCCGATATTTACCTGCACTTTAGGTTTTTGGGTTAGGGGCTGACTTAAGTTTATCATCTGGGTGTTAGGGCTGAGTATTGCTGTGGCTTATGGATAAGGTTCAGGGTTTTAGTGTTTCCCAGTCTTGGGAGAATTCTTGTAGCCGTGAAATATGGTGCTGAGCCCTTTAAATAGGTGATCGACTGATTACTCCCTTAAAGCCCTGAAAGGAACCCATAAAGGAAGCCTTTAAAGGCTATCGAATAAGTATTAACTTGCCTTTTCTTGCTGAGCCCTTCCGTGGGGTCCTTGGTTGCTATGGCTTTGGGCCGGCGGCTCCTGGCTGGAAGAGCAGAGGTCTCAGTGGATCAAAAAGCTTTCTGAACCACAAAGCTTGACTAAAGATGGCATATACCTTAAACGGCCATAACCTACTTGCTTGCAGGTTCTTATTGTGGACCATTGTATGTGGAAACTCATCGAGGCCCTACAAAAAAGTAGGTTTTGGTAGGTTAAGGCAACTGCTGTGAACGAGACCCTGAAGGCGGGTTCTGAGTTTCAGAGCTAAGGTGTCACCATTGACGCTTGAGGGTTTGGCACTGTGGGGTGCTACTGGAGGGGCCTTAATTGCTTCTACTACTTGGGGAGTTCTTTATTGTAATTATAGTACAATGGGCCCCAAAACCTTATTCTAATTATTAAGGCCCCTAGAGCACAGTGTGTGTGGGGTGCTGATTCTGGTTTTGGGCTGAGGGTCTTGAGCTTCCGGCTCTTGAGGTCAGATTCGTACTACGAGGAATCCGAATGCAGGGCCTCTGTAAAACCCAAAAGCGTTAACCCGCGTGAGCCATCTGCCTCTCAACCCCTCGATCTTCTCCAAGGCCCCTCCGAACGACCCTAATATAACCCTTAAAGTCACTACTACAGGGTGGGCGGGGGGGCCTCCTAATGCATCATCAAGAAACTAGATTCGAAACAGGGGCCTGGCCCCTGGGTCTCTGGACCCTGATTGCCGAAGCTGAGACCCTACTACAGGGGCTTCAATAATTACCTATACTATTTTGGTGGTTCCTTAAGATAATTACAGTATACTGGGCCCCAAAACCCTATTCTACTTTTTAAGGCCCCTCTATTAAAACGTCATGGAAACCGAAATGGTATGGTAGTGCTTGACTTGAGAATGCACCGCGGGTGTTGTGGAAAAGCGTTTCTATGATTTCTTAGGTACGGCCCCCACTCAGTAATAGTTGAATAAGATTCATAATACAGATATATTAGGACCTTAATAGTAGCCCTATTATACACTCTTACTGTATGGGGGCCGTACCCAAATGATTTCTAGCTGTTCATCCAGCCCTCTGCGGCAGCCACGCGAAGCAAAGTCTTCAACACAACCCAAACATGGTTGTCAGAATGAGGGTCCCTTTAAAGGGCTCTATAAGGGTTACTATAAGGGATACTATAAGGGATACCATAAGGGATACTATAAGGGTATATACTATAATATGGGTGGTTGTCAGAATGAGGGTCCCTTTTTGGGTACCCTAAATATTAGGTGCCGTATTATAATACGGACCCGAAAGGACCCTATTGACAACCACCCACATGGCTCACACAGCGGTTCAGAGTTCGGACTTCTGGTTGGTGTTGTCTGCCATTTACTTCGGGGATGTGCCTCCCACCTCCCACCTCCCCCCTCACCCCCAAACCTTTGCCAGCTTTCTGGGAGGTGGGAGATGGAGGAGGTGGGGGTGGGGGATGGGGGTTGGAGGTGAGGAGGCGATACGATACTCGGTGAAAGTATTTTTGAAGCGGTCATGGTGATTCTACAAGCTTTGTACAGCCTTCTTTAAGGTTTCATAGGAAGCGCTTCAACACCGTGTCAAGCCCCTATCGGTAGATGTCGTCCAAGTCTTTCCAACTTCCACCAACAAACTCTGCTTCTGACTGCTTCTCTTTGTCATAGTTGGGTAACATTTTAGATTTTTATGTGTACTTAAACCCAGTAAGGACGAAAAATCCAAAATTTTCATCCTGTCCCAACCATGAACTAGTTCTGTGTCCCAGATCTGTGACTGAGGCCTTCTTGACTGCAGGGTGCACCTATGCGGCTCTCCACCAGGCCTTTGTCATTAGCGGGTTTCAGCAAACAGGGAGTCATACGGTTGATGAGATATGTATATATATATATATATATGTATATATATATGTATATATATATATATACATATATATATATATATATCTAATATATATATATATATATATATATATATATATATATATATATATATATATATTATATTATATTATATTATATATATGTATATATATATATATATATCCTGGATTATCCATAATATTGGAATATACCATAGCTCCCATCGTCTAGGGTCCTTAAGGTAATGCAGGATTTATATCATCAACCCTAAACCCTCAACCCTAAAACCCTATACATCCCTTACAGGAGCTCCTTAAAGGTACCCTTATAGATCCCTTTAAAGGAACCCTAGGATGTATATCATCAACAGTATGGAAGCCGAGGGTCCCTAAACCCGAAAGCCTGAACCCTTCATTGGTCACGCTCAAACAGACCCCAGAGAGTAGGAGCCAAGACAGCCCGGAAGTACCACCGATCTCATCAATGTACCCTAAACCCTAATTAAGAAGTACCGATGTAATCACTGTAGCCCTATGCCTTACTCGAGCCATGAAGGCCTTAGTTTGAACCCCAGATACGAGGCTTCTTGGTGCAGTATGGGGCTTGAGGACCCGAAGACGACGGCGATCAACGATGACGGTGATGATGATGCTAGTTATGATGATTTTGGTCATGGTATCTGGTGACGCAAAACTGCCCCGGCATGGAGGATGTGAATGCATGCTGACGGGCAAGCTTTTTGTGCAACACCAAGTTGCATGGTTCGGCTGCAGCTCAGCTGTTTCTTCGAATCTCCTTGGGAAATGTATTTTTTCATTACATCACAAAGCCTTGAAACCCACAGGAACACTTTAGGGCCGTGGATGCCATAGTTCCAAGATCCACAAGATTCAACAGGTCAGCCGCGGCACGCTGCGGGCCTTTGCAGGAGAGCTGTGTTTTCGTTCAGTTCGGTTGTAGCTGCTTTCCTGCGACACAGAAATGACAGCAAAAAAGGATTCTGATAGCTGGTCTCTGGGTCTCTAAATGCTCGATTTTGGCCCGAGTCGAAGGTTTAGAATTAGGACTGGAGGCAACGGTGATGCAATTCGGGGAATGTTGCTGGTGGACAGAATGGTGTCTTTTTGCATGAGTAATACGAGCTGTCCATCACGAGCATTGATAGCCTCTGAAGAGTCCGTTCAGAAACTTATCTAAGTTTGTGAATTCTGTAGCGAACCCTGGCAATCAGGCCTTGCTCAGAGCTTAATTATCAGGTTCGGCCAAAACACGTGTAACCCCCAACACCTCAGAATCCCTTCCACTACTATAGCGGCCTTCATAATTACCTACACTATTTTGGGGAACCGATTATAGTTATAGTACACTGGGCCCCAAAACCCTATGCTCATTTTTAAGGCCCCTACATCAAAACTCAAAGTCGCAGTCTTCGAGAAGCTTCAGTCTCGACAGTGTGAGTCCACCCGGGGTGAACGAGAAATGAAGGATGCTTATGTGGGTGGCTGTCAAAATTATGGTCCCTTTTTGGGTACCCTAATTAGTAGGTGCCGTACTATATTCCAAAAAGGGACCATAATGTTGACAACCACCCATGTATCAGACCAAAAAGTTGCCAAGACTATTTCTTGGGATGGTCCAAGAAACCATACTATGGCAGTTTTTCGACACCTATAAAGCACCTCACGAACAAAGAGCTTGAATACGTAGAGAAAATGCTGTAAAAGACCTTTGACCAATGCTGGTGAAACCCTAAACCCTAAACCGTGTGAGTATAGGAAGCTTAAACTGTCAAGCCCTAGACGTTGAAGCCCTACACCCTGAAACCCTGCGACCTATGTTTTGCTTGTCTTTTTCAATTCGGACGGCAAGTAAACCTTTTCTATAACAAAAATGCGGACCCTGCGTAAAACCCTAAACCCGAACCCAAATCCCTAAACCCTGAACCCTAACCCAAAACACTAAACCCTAACCCAAAACCTTGAACCTTAAGCCCTGAACTCTCAAACTCAGCTCCCGAAGGAAGTGCAGGCGCCCGTTCCTTATCATGAATGTAGTTGCATACCACCGAAGCCTTATTCCAATTACTACGGCCCCCATTTTTATAGTCCCCTCTATTTCCCTTATGGGACCCTTTAAAGAACCTTGACAGGAGCCCCCCAAATCCTAATCCTCTCCTATATCACTCAGCTCTTTTGAAGGAAATGCAGGCGCTCAGGCTCCGCACATCGAAACCCCGCTGATTTATTCGGAGGCTTCCTCGGCTCGGGGATTCTGTCAGAATACAGAAGGTCTCTAATGGAATATGATTAGTAGATAACAGTTTTTTGGGCAACAAAGGATGGGTAAGAGGGCCTTAGGGTTTTTAAGTAAGGAGTCAGGAACGTTTTGGACAGGTCTTGTAAGGGTTCTTGTGGTGTTTCATATAGGTGTCTGGGTGATTAGCAATCGTGTCTCTTTTAGTCCGTGTAAGGTTTCGTTACAATATACCCTAGGATGCCCAGCAGTACCCTTATTCCCTTTTTGTAGTCCTAGGTTCCTTATAAAGTTACTCAATACCAAAAAGAGAGGCCTTTTTATTCTTAGGTTACTGGGTATCCTAGTACCCCAAAAAGCCCCAGCCTTGTTACTAAGGCCACTGGGGGGATCCGGGTCCTGGCAAAAAGGGATGGAGAGTCAAAGGGGAACAGGAGGGACCCTTAATAAGGACCCCTTCTCTATAATGGGCTATATAATGGGTATATAATGGCTATATTAAGGGTATATTACCTAGGGGTCCTATAGGGGTCCTGGCAAAATGGGATGGAGAGCAAGAGTGACAGATGGTCCTATAGCGGCCTGAACAATTAAATTACTATACTATTTTGGGGGGGGGTTCTGTATTATATTTATGGCATAAGGGGCCCGAAAACCCTACTCTAATTATTAAGGCCCGCCCCTATATTAGCAGCTTAAACCTTGGTTTCCACACCCATCTCACCAGGAGTGACTCCAACAGTTTTGGGAAGGGTCCACTCCCAGGATCTCAAGTCAACGTTGGGTTTGAGGTTAGTTAACCGCCAATATGAGGATGCATCGATGGGCCTGAAGACAGTACGGACTGTGAAATTGCAGTGATGCTAAAGTCTCGAAGCATGCTGTCGTGGAGAGCCAAGCTCCGACAATATCGGCTTTTGTGCAATGTCATCATCGCGTTTCCTGTTGGCGGTAGAGTTGGGACAAGCAACAGCCGTAGAGATCGGCGTCGCCAACGTCGTAACTATCGTAATGACACACGACTTTATTGGAGCCAGTCGTTGTCGTATGAGTGTTCAAATCAGTAGTTGTAGCAACACTAGCAGCGGCAGTCGTCGTCGTCGTGCTGGTGGTGGAAAGTGTCAGTGGCAGCCGTAACGGTCGTGCTGGAAGTGCTACTGCTGCTAGCGTTACTTAAGTTTTTGACGTGCAGTACGTAGAACGGATATACATAAATAGTCCAATGCATACTCGCATTGACAGTTGTCGCGGCGATCATTCTAGTAGTAGTCTTTGACCGGCTCTTCTCAGTGCGGCTACCATGGACATCCACATGAATATCGCCCGTATTGCTGAGATTACGCAGGCGTTCTCCAAACGACTGGGTGCCGACGTCTTTTTGCCACTCGTCCGAGTTTTGCGGCACTGAACTCAATGCCCTCATCGGCTTTTCGTGGTCAAGGAACCTGCAGTTCTGATCCACGAGGCCGTCTGCAAGGCTTGAAATCACAAAGCTGACAGCTCCATACCTCCAACATACTTGCTGTGGTATGCCCTGGTATGCATGTGTGTAGCCAAGCATCTGCACTCTGCCATCTGCAAGATTTCTACTGCACGCTTCTGTGCAAGCGCCCGGTGCGTTTGTTTGCCTTATGTCTTTGACATCCTATCTTGCAAAGACAGGCACAGCTGAAGACTGACGCAAGAATAAAGATAGATATGACACACAGCCTGAATGAAACAGTCTGAGAGTCTGAGTCAAAGATGTAGGTACAGACCAGGGAGCAAGGGAGAGCGAGAGAGAGAGAGAGAGAGAGAGCGAGAGAAAGAGAGAGAGAGAGAGAGAAAGAGAGAGAGAGAGAGAGAAAGAGAGAGAGAGAGAAAGACAGAGAGAGAGAGAGAGACAGAGAAAGAGAGAGACGGAGAAAGACAGGGACAGAGAGGGAGAGAGAGAGAGACAGAGACTGACAGAGAGGCAGTGAGAGAGAGAGAGAGAGAGACAGAGAGAGAGACTGACAGAGAGACAGAGAGAGAGAGAGAGAGAGAGAGAGAGAGACAGACAGAGAGAGAGAGAGAGACAGACAGACAGACAGACAGGCAGACAGACAGAGACATCGACAAAGTTTGTGTTGTATGAGCGTAGCAACTCAGTACAGTATTAGAGAGAACATTATATTGTATAGTACATTACATTATAGATGTGCATATATGTATGTACACGCAATGTAGTCTACTTCAAAGTCGCCCAGACCCTGACAACCAAGGAAGCTTGACTTGCTGCAGCCCTCGGGATCCTTCAAGCTGCGGGGCATTGGCGAGACCGTGCGTGAGGCGACTTTGGCTCAACCTCGTAGAATGTACATGCTTCTACTGTATATTATACTAGGATCCCTTATATGATTTAAGGTATATTCTTTAATTAAGGGGTATTGGGACCTCTGAACCCCTACTTGGAGGGTCGGGGGACTTAGTAACTGGTTATTTTAGGGGGTACAAAAAGTCTACTTACTATCTACTTACGAAGTCCCCCGACCCCCCAAGTAATGTAGGGGTGCCAAGAATTAGCATAGGCTTCCTTTGAGAGGCGTTTTTTCGAGGTGCGTTTGAAGGGGGTGTTAGGGCATTATGAGGTTTTAGGAAAGATATCATGATTCCCGTAGATTAAACTCCGAAACCTATTCTGACTACTCGGAACATAATACCCACTTATGATACTTGCGTCTGCCAAGCCGTATAGGAAATCTCGACAACACCAAAAAGTTGCAGGTCCTTACAAGAAGAAGCGTTACAAAATCATGAGAAGTGTATTGACGCTCCTGTCTAACAGTTGTCTAACCCTAAGATGAACCCTTATTGTTCTGCTGTACAACCCGTGTAAGATCTGACAAAGCGTTGATTTGCTGTGGGGCGGTCCAGCATAATCCGCAAAAGCTGGATCCAGGCTTGAAAAACTCAAATCGCTCAGTGTTCAGCGGATTTGGGGCTTGCGCTGTTGAAGGCGCAGTGCTTGGTTGTAGGAGCAAATCGGCGTTGGGGATCCATCTCTTTGAAAAGATCCCGGAAGTTTGTGCACTGCCGGCGCCTCGAAATCAACTCCCCCATCTCCTTTAGAATCTCTCATGCCTCTTGCATGACACCCAGAGCCGTGTGTTTCAAGTGCTGCGCAAGGCCAAGCAAAACGGTGCATCCTGCATCGTGTCCTCCAGTGGGGGGAATGCTGCTTCGACGCACATAATAGTACTCGCTTTAGCAATGATCAGCATGGCTTTGAAGTCCTCAGTGTGGCTTATCATTCCAAAATTTGTGTAAGCCAGGAAAGTCGTCGAATCTTGGATCCGTAGCCCGATCGTACCCGACAGAAGAATCACGTAATGTAGAAGCCTGAATAGATCATAGCCGTTTTATTCTTTTAACTTGTTTGTAAGATACACCAACAAACCCCATCGCAAGTGTTACGACATCGATGTTATGTAGTTGGATCCCAACAGCATCCAGACCCATAGCATCTTCGGGCATGAAACTGCTGGGACAACCTGGTAACCCGGTATGTACGTCTAAAACAACAAAGCTGAAAGCACAAATCCCGGATCCGGAAACCTTGAAGATTGGACGATGCTGACCCGCAATAACCCCATACCCCAAACCCCTCTGGCTTCTACTGTCTATTATACTAGGATCCCTTATATGATTTAAGGTATATTCCTTAATTAAGGGGTATTGGGCCCTCTGAAACCCTACTTGGAGGGTCGGGGGACTTAGTAACTGGTTATTTTAGGGGCTTATAAGTACCATAACCCCAATTAGGGTCCCTTTTGGCTACTTATAAGTCTACTTACAGTCCCCCGACCCCCCAAGTACAGATCATAAGGATACTATAAGGGTTCCTTTAAAGGGCTCTATAAGGGTGGCATTTTTAGGGTTCCTTTGCAGATCTCTAAACGAGGCTGGCCTGGCAGCCGCCTACGCTGCACGTGCCTGCGGGCTGCCATGCACGGTGTCTCGGACTTCGGAGCGTTGCCAATGTGGGAGTTAGGGTACCTTATTATGGGGACCTTATAATAAGGATCCTACTATTTAGGGTACTATATTAGGGTCCCCTATTTTCGGAAACTCCCATGTGGGCCTTAGGGCCATGGAGGTTAAAAAGGGGTTCGAGGTTTTAGGTTCACAAACCCTAAACCCTAAACCCTATACGGACGTACGTTTTACGAGCTACTATCGGCTTTGGAGGGTTCGAAACTGTGGGTTTGTGGAGTCCAGGCCATACGTTTGCGATACAGCCTCAAACAGGATGGCATATGACCTCATGGGGGCCTAATATACGCGCCTGGATAATTAGCAATATCATTGTGGGGGTTCCTTAGTATGGCTATAGTAGCATATGCCCCAAAACCCTATTCCAATTATGAAGGCCCCTATATTGATTCGGACACTCCTTACGGTCTTATGCCTAGGCTCCGGAGATTTCACCCGCCTCACTTAGCCACCGCTTTGCCTTCGGCCTTGGGAAGTCTGGGAGGTCGTGCTTCCCACGTCTACGCCAGCACTGATTCGAGACCGCCTGGCGGGCTATGGTGCGGAGGCCCCCTTAGAAAGGATCTACAGGGACTGGGGAGAAAGTATGGAGGGTTTAGGGTTTAGGGAGCAGCGCAAGTATGAGCAGCTTTTTTAGCAGCTTGAAGGCTGAGTCTGGTGCCTTGGGCCGAAATCCGAGGATACGTTGGGCGCTTCAAGTGCAGAGGCACCAAGCTCATAAAGCACAATAGGGCCATCTCTGTATGAATGTGTTATGATCTACGATAGTATGCGATTTTGAACTACCAACATACTATGAAGTTTGCGAGGCCGACACAGGTGCCTGCTTTCCGTCGTTGTGCATGACATCACGACTTGCTCTCCTCATGACTGCTATGCACTCTCAGAGGACGAAACCGTCCCTGGCATCGTGGTCGGAGTATTTAGTATATAGCATTTTCCCCGTTCAGGCCTTGAGAAAGTTGCGGTATCCTTTACCCCAAAGCCCTGAACACTAAATCCCAAACCCTAGACTCCACAACCCCTAAACTCTCAGCCTTACACCCAAAACCCCAAAGCCCTAAACCTTAAACCCTAAACCCTTAAACCCCACCCCAAAGCCCAAAACCCAAAACCCCAAAGCCCTCTTCACTAGCTCAGTCCCTATGCTTGTCTGCAGCTTAAAGCTGTGGCAAGTTAAGGGTTTAGGGTGGAAGTTCCAGCCCTAGTTTTGAATCCTGGATAAAAACTACTACTACTACTACTACTACTACTACTACTACTACTACTACTACTACTACTACTACTACTACTACTACTACTACTACTACTACTACTACTACCTAGGGTCTACGGCTTCAGGGTTTAGGTGTCAATGCTTTGGGGTTTCCGGGTTTTTTGGGGTTTAACGCCACTCCTGAGTCCGGTTTTGTTACTGAAAGTGCATACCCCAAAACCCTACAGGGAACTCCAGAAATTTAGGGTTTAGGGTTAAATTCTAATCGCTTTAGTCAGATTAACTGGATGGATTAGGATGAAGGGATCCTTTAAAGGTCTAGTTTAGGGTTTCGGATTTAGGGTTTAGGGTTGAGTGTTTCGGATTTACGGTTTAGGGTTTAGGGTTTAAAGGGAACTCCAGAAAGTTGGAATATGGTTTCATGGTAGGGATACCCTATAATTTACCATAGAAGGGTTAGGATAATCATATTCCAACTTTCTGGCTTTTACCTTATTCTAATCGCTTTAGTCAGATTAACTAGTCCATATGAACCCCGACAGCCCAATACCTGATTAGATGCTTCAAACTACATAAGGCTTTCTAGGCTTTGTGCCCTCCTTCTAGTCAGTCGCCCAGCAATAGCATCCTCAACATGTGGACCCTTGAACGGCTGGCCTCTAACAATACAACCACCCCAAAGCCAAAGTTCATTTGTGCGGCAGGTGCTGGTGCACGGGAGCGTTTGGGACGAGGCAGGCATCTAAGGAGGCTTCTGAATTTCAGCAGCGTAGCGCTCTGCTTAATAACCCCCCCCCTCTGTACGGGCCTTGAGATGAAAATCCATGTCATCATCCTGATCAAGACGGGAGGGCTTCTTCACCAGGGCGCTACATCACGGCATTTGGGCAAGAATGTTATAGTGGTTATTGTTGGAGCGTCCGGAGGCTGCTGAGACGACGTTGTTCAGAAGTGACTCCCGCATGTGCCACCTCTCTTGCAAATTCAGCGGCTGCAGCGCTAGGGACCCTTTTTTCGGAAGTTTGTGTGTGCAAGAGTCGCCAATTTAACATGCCGAATGTCAGAGTCCAAAGCCACGACAGCCGACAACCCAACATTCAAATCCTGGCAGGCGGATCAGCATGCCCGGAAAGTGGTGGAAGAGCAGCGCGGTGCCTACGTCCATCCCTTCGACCAGGCCGCCTTCCAAGCCCATCACTCCAACTTAGTAGCTGAGTGGATACACTTTGCACTTTTTGGGATACTATTTCCCACTATAAAACTGAAAGTGTACAATTCTTGGGGCTTATGAACTCAGCAACTAAGCCAAGCTGATAGCTTCGAGGCTTCAGAGCTCAGCTCGATGCTGAAAGCCTGTAACGTGGTTGCGTGAATAGTCAGCATATAATGCGATTGCTTCGGGTTCCTTCTTATACTTATCCCAAGATGTATCGGAAAACCCTTCTTTCGAGTTCTCAGGGCCCCGACATAAGACAAGGCTTCAGGGTGCGGGGAGCTGCCATTGTCGTGACCACGGGTTTGAGAAGTCTGTCGCTTCGCCAAACCCAGAGAACCCATTCCCCTTGAATTAAGGAATATACCTTAAATTATAGAGGCCTTAATATTATGATCTCAGGTATATTCCTTTGTTAAGGGGTTTTGGGATCTCTGGGAAGGAGTCGACATGGCGTGGCCATGCCAGCATTGTGGAGGACCGTGGCTGCTGGGTTGCTCGCAGTGCTCGAAGTGGTGAGCTCTTGTGTAGTTGTAGACAGAGACTAGTCTTGAAACGGGTGCCTGAACGATAAGATGATTCGGAAGCCACCCCTCTGTAGCTTCGGAAGCCTCGTTGGAGGATTTCCCGTGGATGAGGATTGGAGCCTCCGAGAATTTGAAGCAGGCTTCTTTAAAAATGGTGTCAGAATGCGCTGTCTGGCAAAACCCCGTTTCTCTACATCGTGGCAGCATCTGGCACAGTTGCAGCTAGGGTGCTTTACTGTCGCACTCACTCTTCCTAATCTACTTACTACGTCCGCTTAGCCCGAAGCCTTAAAGCCTAAACCTAGGATGCCCAGTACCCTTATTCCCTTTTAGTAGTCCTAGGTTCCTTATACATTTACCCAATACCAAGAAGGGAGCCCTTTTCATTCCTAGGCTACTGGGCATCCTAGAAACCCGAAACTTTAAGTCCCCTCAAGCTGAAACTTCGTTTAGGGTTTGGGGTTTAGGGTTTATCGGGTTTTAGGGTTTAGGGTTTCCTGAAACCCTGAACCCGAAGTGCCGTGAACACCCGACGCCGCAGGAGTTGCAGTCTCAACTCTCTGCCCCGCCCGATGCCATCGTAACCTGCGTTGGTGCGGGCCCCAGCATGCGACCACGTCCCAGTGACCTACTAGTTTCTCGGTTATGCCCGTTATGCCCTATGATTACTGATTGGGAGACATAGCCGTCATGACCAGAGATTTATAGGTTTTTTGGACGTGGGGGGCTACAGGTAGGGTTGAGGTTGAGGCTTTGCAGCTTTTGGATTTGGGGTTTACCGCTGTGCAGCTTTGGGGTCAAGGGGGATAGGGTTTGGGGTCGGTGCTCTCCAATGTAGGAGCCTTAATGCTTAACAGATTAGGGTTCCTGTAAAGGGGTCTGTCAGGGCTCCCTTAAGGGCTCTTATAAGGATCTAACATAGGGGCCTTAATAGTTACCTTTTCTATTTTGGGGTTTCCTTATTACATTTTCGGGCCCCAAAACGCTATTCTTATTATTGCGACCCCCTATATGCAGGCGCCTCGCTCATTAGAATCGGGTTTTGGGCTCCTGTAGTATAGTTATAACAAGGAACCCTCAGGAAAACGTATTAGGTAGTTATTTTAGGCTTCTTTTTGGGAGTGTCCGAAATTAGGGGACCCTAATTTCGCATCCTAAATAGTAAGATCCTCAGTATGAGGACCCCTAAACAAGGTACCCTTATTTTCGGAAACTCCCACAGTATGCACCAGGGCTGCATTTCGATAGTCACTGCAACGTAGTAGTGGAGTAGGTGGCTTTAATTTGTTTGGTGTTCCATATGGGTGGTTATCAAACTTATGGTCCCTTCTTGGGTACCCTAAACATTCTAGGTGCCGTATTATAATAGGGACCCAAAAACGGACCTTACATAACCCTGAAGGTTCTCCACTTGAGTCCATGGGATGCTGGGCAAGTACGGCAAGTTCAGGCCGACTACTTCGAGTCCGACAAGCAAATGCTAAATCCGAATGGCAAGAAGCAAGACTGAGGAGTTTGCTCCTCGATGTCTGATCGGCTTGTGGCGGAATGATAATAAGAAGATAAACAATAAGAATAATACGAAGAAGAATCATCCTCATACTAACGAAGCAGTATATTATGCAGGGAGGGGGATAGAGACAGAGAGCGAGAGAGAGAGAGAGAGAGAGAGAGAGGTAGGGAAGCAACCAGTATCTCGGCAACGCACCCTTTGCCCAGCTCAGTCAGAGACGCAAGCAGCGCTCGGCAAGAAAGGCATTTCTTGCCGGTACAGAGAACAGTTGGGTGCTTTGTGTCTGGGTGTCTTGATGCTAAAGAGTATGCCATTCTGGTGTCCCTTAAGCTCCTACAACAGTACCTCTAGTCTCCATTGTAGGTCCTTTTTTTGGCTAACCCAAAGCTACATTATGGGACCCTGACCATAAAACTGGTTAATCAAAAAAGGAACTACAATGGAGACTATAGGTATGTATACGGATGTTTACGGGCACCTGGAGTTCTACCTTAGGCTGCCATGGACTTGGGGATGAGCTCAGCCTTCCAAGGCACATGACCTTTGTGCCCTCAGAGCCTTCGCTAGGGTAATTGTACTCAGAGACTTATAACCCTACTTATAAATACCCATAATTGCTGGAAACCACCATGGAAGCCGCGAAAACGTGCTTCCCAAGCTTTCCGGCTCTCTTAGATCCCTAAGCTCCCTCAGCTCTCCCTTCGGCTAGGTAGGCCTTTGGGACATTTTATATTTTCCCTTATTGGGTTTAGTAGGACCCTATTTACGAATATTTTTCAGAGGTTTTAAGGGGCCAACCTAGTCGGTTGCCCCAGCGCTTTCCAAGCTCAGGTGGCGGTGGCCTGCTAATGGGCATCCTCCGGGGCGTGGAGGTCTTGAAAGGGAAACAGGGTTTAGGGTGTAGGGTTTAGGGTTTAGGGTTCAGCGTTTAGGGTTTAGGGTAGGGTTTACCGCGGTTATCATCTTCTTCCGGAAATCATTGTGTTTGTGGTTCCGCGGCTTCTTCGCGTCCATGTCGGCCTCACACTGATCAATCACCGTCACTGTCACACTCCATCGTCACGATCGCATGAGGTCAACACCCTTTGGCAGCACCACAGCGGCCCGAATAATTGCCTATACTATTTTGGGGGGGGCGGGGGGGGGGGGGGGGGTCCTTATTATAGTTATCGTATAATGGGACCAAAACCCTGTTCTAGTTCTAATTGTTAAGGCCCCTATATTCTAGTACCCTTATAGATCCCTTAGAGTACCCCTTCAAGGGAACCCTAGTCTAAATATTAAGGCCCCTCTTTTTTGTCATCTTTCAACGGCCAACACTGCCCCCGACAGGCTGCTGGATGGCGACGGACTCAGAGAGATTCGAAGGGTTGCATGAGGCCAGTACCCACGCCCTCGGGAGGATCTAGAAAGTAGATCCCCTAATTTCGGGCCCTAGCTACTTAAAGGCACGTTACAGCAACCCCCATTAAGGGATGTACTTTTTGGATCCTCCCGGGGTCTGGGAGTGGAGTAACGAAGAAACCCTGGTGCTAAAACCCCCAGTATAGTAGGATTCATACAAGGAACCCAAAGAAAGTCCCAGGGTTTCTTAATCAGGTTCCTACATGAGGTAATGGTAGGTAGCCTTTAACCTTTTTCGGCGAAGCTCGTCTCACGCCTTTCGCTGCAGATGCAGCACGTTTTGGGGGTACTATAATCCCTATATAAGCCCAATATACTCCCAAAGTTTAACCTTTACTTCTCCAGGATATTGGACAAGTAGCAGAAGATGGTATTCAGAACAGCTCCACTGGCTATCATCACAGGAGCAAGGATCTCAAGGATCTACGGACAGGCTAGGCGCCTCTGGCAATCGCCCGATCACCAGCCGACGAAGTCCAAAAGCCCTTCACATAGGATCCCATAATTGAAGGATCATGGGACTTAGTAAGTAGGTTCCTTTAAAGAGCTCCATTAAGGGATCTATATAGGGGTTCTATAAGGGGTGGTTTAGGCAACTTAGAGGATCATGGGACCTAGTATCTGGGAGTTTCCGAAAATAGGGGGTACCTTATTTTGGGGTCCTTATGATAAGGATCCCTCCATTTGGGCTACTATACTACCTGAAGGATCATGGGATTTAGTAAGTAGGTTATAATTGGGGTTATAAGTCCCCTAAGTGGGGTTATCCTAATGATAACCTACTTATAACCTTACTTACTAAGTCCCATGGGGCTTTAAGTGTTGCTTGGCATTGACGGCATTGGGCTAAAGGGAGATCCGTACCTAAAGCATGCGCGAAAGCGAGGTTCGGCCTGCAACCGGGCCCTACCCCTACCACCTCGGTGCTGCAAATCGTCCCAATCTCCGGTCTTGACTCGAGTACCAAACCCTCTAGCCGCTGAACCCGTACTGCCCCAAATGCGTAAAAACAAAACACCCGAACACCGAACCACTGTTAAACCCGGCGGCCCTCAAACCCGAAACCCTTAACCATGAGAATGCTTCTGGGAGCCTTTGGCAAGCTAAGCCCTAGATGTCCTAAAGCCGCAACTTGATTAAAATCCTAATCCGGAAATACGGAACCCTATGACGCCTGAACCCTTAGCCCAAAACCCTAAACCCCCAACCCTAAACCCTAAATGTCCTAGAACCTTCACCCAAAACCCTAGATGTCACCCTACGCCCTAATCCCAAAATCCTATCCGAAACTTCAAAAAGAATCAAAAAAACTCCTAAATCCTAAACCCAAACTCCCCTGTTCCCCGAAGGCCGAGGTCGAAGTCCCGATAACAACTCCCCCTAGTTATAAGGGTTCCTTTAAGGATCTTTAGGGATTTAGGGTTTAGGGTTCAGGGTTTAGAGTGGGTAGTTCTCATATAAGTGGAGTTAAAAATCCCCTATGATGGGTTATAGGTACGATTGCCCTACTTATAACCCCACCTATAACTACCCATGAACCTGTAAGTATGTCAACTTGAAGATCCCGTTGAAAGGAAAGCTTATTCTAATTAAGAAGCCCCAATACTATAGTATCCCTATAGATCCCTTTTAGGGATCCCTTTAGCCTAACTACCCGAAAACCCTAGCCCCCTGCACCCTATAGACCCCGTAAAGGAACCCGAAACCATTAAAATCCCCACTTATAGCTACCCATGAAACTTTTAGGTATGTCAACTTGAAGATCCCTTTAAAGGGAACCCTATTCCAATGATGAAGCCCTTATACTATGGTACCCCCTATAGATCCCTTTAAAGGATCCCTTCATCCTAATCCATCCGAGCCAAGGTCGAAGACTCGGGTCTTGGCCTGTGAGACCCACGGCGCTTCCTGCTTGGCTCAGAGACTCCGACGTCCATTCCTGGGCTCTGGGGTTCAGGGGTTTAGGGGTAGGTTTAGTCTAATTAACCATCTATATCCCTACAACCATAAACCCTAAGCTCCCTTGACACTTTAATCCTAAGCCTCAAACCCTAGACCCTTAGTTTCGATAAGGGTTTAGGGCTTACGAAGGGGATAGGGTGTTTTAAAACTGCACTATGAGGGTTCCTTTCGAGGGATCTTGGGTCCAGTGGTTGAGGCTTTGAGGATTCAGGATCCTGCTTGGGGGGTCAGGGGACTTAGTAAGTAGATAGTAAGTAGACTTATAAGTACCCTAAAAAGGGACCCTAATTGGGGTGACGGTACTTATAAGTCCCTAAAATAACCCATTACTAAGTCCCCCGACCCTCCAAGTGGTTTGCTCAAGCTGCTGGTGCTTCGAGTTGAAGGGTTCAGGGCTTTCTCGAGGGTTTGTGGGTCTACACCCAGAGATACAGTCCCTGGGGGTCCAAGTAGTCTTTACTTATGGTGTTTTCGATACCTAAAAAGGCCCTTAGGGAGTACCCAGAGAACCAAATACCCCTTAATTAAGCAATGTACCTTAAATCATAATATTAAGGCTCCAATAATTTCAGGAATATTCCTTAATGAAGGGGTGTTGGCTTCTCTCGGCATGGAAATCCTCAACATGGTCTAAAGCCCAGACAAAACCCGGCAATGCACGTAAAACGCCGCCCCAAACGCATTCCTTCACAGCCTTTAAGGCTCTCTCGCCGCTGCCAAAACAACTCAGGAGCCTTCAAAAGGGGGAGCTTGTGACGCTACCTGCGATCACTTCGCAGCTCGACGAGAGATTGTTGAGCTGTCTTTCTCTATCGAGCTCACAGGTGGGTGCTTGTGCACATATCTTATGTGTATATATATATATATATACATATAAATATGTATATACATATATTACATGTATATATACATATACACATATACACATATATATATATATATATATATATTTATTTATTTATTTATTTACATGTATATGTGGCGTGTACCGCATGAAAAATGTGGGATGAAGACTTGAAGGACGGTTTTCCGCTTCATGAACAGGTGTAGACAGGCCGCGCCCTAGACCTCGAATCTGTAAGAGCAGAAAGCTGTGCGGGTGAGACCTTCAATATTGAGCGCACTTCATCCTCTGCTGACTGGTGCAGGAACCTAAACCCGAAAGCAGCTCTGACTGTTAAGGAAAGCGATCGGCACGGGGAAGTCCTTTCTCATGTTCTCCGTCGGGTTTCTCAGTCTTACCTGCAGCATGTAAGCTTGTCTTGACGAGCCATAGGAATTTCGTGAATAAATGACATATGAACCATTAACAACACACCCCCTATCTTCAAAAAAAGTGAAGATTTTCTGTGTCCCAGCCCAGGGTGGCAAAATCCCTGGGTGCACTGCGACCAAGCGAGGCGCAGTTTCTCTTAGCAGGGAATGGGGGAATGGATTATGGAGACTATTGCTGGGGATTATATAGGGACTACTATAGGGATCCATTTCCCCATGCCGCACTAAGCACCAGACAGTTTTGGGATGGCTTAGGTTCAGGGATTGAGGGAAATGGATCGCGGTTTGGGGGAAGTCGGGTCGAAGGGCTTCGCCGTTGAGAGGAGGGGGCGGGGGGAACCCTGTAAATCCCCCAACCCCGAAAACCGAAAGAATGAAAAACAAAGCCAAACCCTCAACCCCAAACCCTAAAACCCCTAAACCCTAAGCCCTAAACCCTGAACCCTACCCGAAACGATCCCCCCTTCTTGAGAGGTATATACCTAGGGTTCCTTAAAGGGATCCATAAGGGATCTGTCGGGTTCCTTTAAGGGATCTATAGGGTTTAGGGCTTAGGGGAGTTTAATATCCCCTCCAAGAGAGTCCCTCTTAGAGGCGGTCTAAGTAGGCTTCCTTAAAAGGGGTCTATAAGGCTTACTATAACTGATCTATACTAAGGGTACTATAATAGTGTAACCCTAACCGAAAAGATCCCCCTTGAGAGGCATATACCTAGGGTTCCTTAAAGGGATCCCTAAGGGATCTATAGGGTTCCTTTAAGGGATCTATAGGCTTTAAGAGAGTCCCCCCCTCTTAGAGGCGGTCTTCGAGCGCTGTCGTCAGCTTCCGAGTTCCCTCTTCGCCTCGGAAGTCTTCAGCGATGCGCAGGCCACTACTGGTAGGGGTCTTAGGGTTCCCAGAGACTCCAATATCCCTTGATTAAGGAATATACCTTAGATTATAATAGGATCCCTTATATGATTTGAGGTATATTCCTTAATTAAGGTGGTAGGGGTCTTAGGGTTCCTTTGAAGGGTGCTTTAGGGGCTTTTGGGGTTCCTTTGAAGGGTACTATCAGGGTTCCATTAAAGGGGTCTGGATTTAAGGATTTAAAGATATAGGGGTCCCAGATATTTCAGCGATGCACAGGCTACTGCTGGGGGCTTTTGGGATCCTTTGCTGGCTCCTTATTATAGATATAGTATAATGGCCCCCAAAACCCTAGTCTAATTATTAAGGCCTCTAAGCTACAGAACCCGTGCAACATCTTTTCATTATTAAGGCCCCTAGAGTAGGATATAGAGGCCATTTAAGGTATATTCCGTAATCAAGGGGTTTTGGGGCTCTCTTTGAAGGGTACTATCAGGTTTCCTTGAAAGGGGTCTATAAGGGTTTAAGGATTTTGCGCAGACCGCCAGAGAACCTCATAGCCATTAATTAATTAGAAATATACCGTAAAGCCTCCATAATTTGAGGTATATTGCTTAATCAAGGGGCATTAGGGTTCCCTTGAAGGGTACTATAAGGGTTCCTTTAAAGGGGTCTATAAGGATTTAAGGATTTTGCGAGCCGCTGGTGGTTTTTGGGTTCCTTTGCCCAGAGAACCCAATACCCCTTACTAATTCAAGAATATAATCTAGGGTTCCTTTAAAGGGATCTATAGAGTTTAGGGTTTAGGGGATTCTGATATCCCTGAATCAACGAATATACCTAAAATCGTAATATTAAGGCCTCTAGAAGCTAAGGTAGACCCCTTTATCAAGGGCTATTGGGATCTCTGGGTGAAGCGTACTATAAGGGTTCCTTCAAAGGGATCTATAAGGATTAAAGGATTCAGGGGTTCTAGATGTTTTGGAGTGTTTTTGGCAGGGTGGCCTTTAGGGCTTCGGGGTTTAAGGGCTTGGTGCAATTAGGGTTGACGGGTTTGCTTTAGGTTTTTGGGGTTTAAGGGTTTGGGGCTTCAGGGTTTGAGGGCCTTGGGGCTTTAGAGGCTTAGGGCTTCAGGATCTTGGGTTTTGGGGCTTTAGAGTTTATAGGGCTTCAGGGTCTAAGGGTTTGGGTTACAGGTTTTGTTTAGCGTTTATGGCCGTCAGGGGCCGCAATGTTTTCTTGTTCTCAGGGATCTGTTTTGTTTAAAGGCTTTGTTGAGAAGGGTCTGCATAGGCTTTTCAGTTTCGTATTAAGCTTTTACGTTGTGTTCATTTGACTTTTTCAGACACTAGGGAGCTCTTCACAGCGTGTTCCAAGGGACTTTACAAAGGCGTCTTCACGCATTGGCTCGAACAAATTGGAGCCGGCGTGGCCTTTCAAGGCCTGCCCGTGCCTGAGCCAGGCTTGTTCAAGCGGCAAGCCGACGGCAGCGTGTCCCCGACAGCATGCTCGAGCCAGCCTACTTTCATCTCATGGCATCCGAGGAGGACACGTACTTCAAGGTTCATGGGCTCGAGGGCAAGCTGCAGATTACGAAGGCAGCTTCTTGGGGTTCTGGAAGAGCTCGTGCGGCAAGTCTTAAACTCAAGCCTCCCTTTAAAGGGGTCTGCCAGGGATACTCTGAGAGCTACTATAAGGAGTTAATTTAGTATAGGATCCTCAGTAATTACGTACACCATTGTGGGGATTGCTTGTTAAAAGTATAGTATAATGGGCCCCGAAACCCGAGTCAAAATATTAAGGCCCCTATATTACGCCTTGAGCCTGAAGCCGTAAGGCCTGAGCCTGAATCCCTAAGCCTGGATTGAGCCCTAAGCCTTCTGCCCTCAGCCCTACATTCCTAAAACCCTAAGCCCTACGTAGAGATTCATGGTGCTTAGTAACTAGGGTTATAAATAAGGTAGATATACTTATAATTGGTTATATCCCCAGTTAGGGTACTTATAACCTTACTTACTAAGTCCCATGATCCTCCAAGTAGGCCTTCAGCCAACCCTAAAACCCTAAAAATCTTTGAGCTTCAGGCCCCCCGAGCCGTAAGCGAACCACTAAGCCCTGAGCCTTAAGCCCTACTTAGAGGTTCATACCCTAAACCCTAAACCTTAAACCCTAAACCCCATGGTATTAAGTAACCCCAAGGCCCGTAAGCCCGGCTGAGCCCCAAGCTCTAAGCCCGAAGCTCTGGGCCTTTGAGGGTTGGGTTTAGGGGTTTAGGATTTAGGGTTTAGGGGTTTAGGACTTAGGGTTTAGGGGTTTAGGATACAGGGTTTAAGGGTTTAGGATTTAGGGTTTAGGGGTTTAGGATTTAGGGTTTACGGATTTAGGGTTGAGGGATTTGAGCATTAAGCCCTAAGCCAGGATCTGCCGGCAAGCAATAGTTAGTTTTAGGGGGCGTGTTTGACAATCTGGGGGACCAATTGGACAGTTACAACAAGGACAGCGGTTGTCAGGAGTTTCTGTGGCTTCTGGTGCTTCAGCGGCTGTGTAACTTGTAGGTTAGGGACGCTGGAAAGCCAGCACCCAGAGCCCTATCCATTCAGGAGCCTGCAATGTTCTATGAGCCCTAAGTAACTCCCGAAAAATTGCTATCTTCTTGTTCTCTTTCTTGGTGAGTCCTTGATGACGTTTGCGTAAGAGGCCCTCATCGGAACGTCCGTATTGCCGGATGAAAGGTTGGCTCATGTGGTTGTCAAAAGTATGGCCCCCTGTTTGGGTACCCTCAACAATCGGTGCCGTATTTTAATGAGGACCCAAAAAAGGGACCGTACACCCCAAATAATAGGGGCCGTATTATAATAAGGACCCAAAAATAGGGATCCTAATTTTGACAACTATACCCATGTCTTCATTGGTTGGTTTTGGGGGCTTCACCATCACGTCGCTCTGCTGGTTAAACCTGTCAGTGTCGAGATGGTTGCTATCACCATTCCAGCTGCGGCACATGTGTGATATCCAGCTGAACAGTACGTTATCCTTGAAGCCCCCTTTTGATGAATCATGGCAGATTGACCTCGAAGGGATTGCGTTAGCTCGTCGCCGAAGGGACCTAGTCAAACAGGCCCAGACGGAGGTTGTGACAGTTGCGTTGCATCACCGAGATGTGCGACAGGTCAAGAAAGCTGAACAGGGATTTTCAAACCTAGGTAAAGTGCCATAAACCTACAATACTATGAATACACATCAACAAGAAGTTGAACAGCCCTGCCATGCGGGCACAAAGGGCTCATGAAATCCTAAGAATCCCCTGACAGAGACCCAAGAAATCTTTGGGACCCCAATGTACAAAACACACCAAAGAAAGGCGTCCTCCCTGTAAAGGGAACTCCAGAAAGTTGGAATATGGATTAATGGTAGGATCCCCTATAATTTACCTTAAAGGAGTTCCGATAATGATATTCCAACTTTCTGGCTTCTACTGTAGTTCGGACCGCCTGACAGGGACCCCTGAACCCCCCACCCCTAAACCCCTAAACCCTAAACCCCTAAACCCCCAAACCCCTAAACCGAACCCCTAAACCCCCAAACCCCGAAACCCTGAACCCTAAACCCCTAACCTTTAAACCCTGAACCCTAGAAACCCCTCCCCCCTAAACCCTGAACCCTATAAACCCCTAACCCTAAACCCTAGACCCCCCGCCCCAAGCCCTAAACCCCCACCCCCAAACCTTCAACCCGAAATTCCGGAGGCGCTCGCAGCTTGCCTCAGGCCTCATCTTTGGGAGGTCTTCGGAGTTTCCGAAAATGAGGGGTACCTTTAAAGGGATCCTTTCAGGGCTCCTTTAAAAGGGATCCTATAAGGGTTCCTTAAAGGGATCTATGAAGGTTCTATAAAGGGTTTAGGGGAGTTTCCGAAAATTGGGGGTACCTTTTGAAGGGATCCTTTCAGGGTTCCTTAAAGGGATCCTACATAGGGATCTATAGGGTTTAGGGTTGGGGAGTTTCCGAAAATGAGGAATCCCTTTTTTGGGGGGTCCTTCATGCTAAGGATCCTACTATTTGTGGGACTATATTCGGATCCCCTATTTTAGGAAACTCCCTCTTGGAGCTTCAGGGCATCATACAGGGTCCTTAATCAATTCAAGAAGGTTTGGGGGGTATATAATGCCATAAGTGTAACAAAGAGCACTAAGGAATGATATTAGGGCTGACTGCACAAGCCTGAATACCAACATTGTTCCATAGGATTCCTTACTCTAGTCAAAGTCCTATATAACCTATATGACAGTACCCAGCCGCTCTAAAGCCCAGTCACGGAGACAACGTAGTTCAGAGAAAAGGTGTGTCACCGGAGCTTGCTATCCCCGTTCATGACGGGCTGTACCCTGAGCCCTAAGCCCACTAAAACCCTGAACCTAAGCAGATCCTCGGTCATGCAGCCGTCGCCAAGAGCCTAAACCCTAAACCGTTTTCATCAGGATGCAGCAAACTGTCGCCCCCTGGAAAAAGGAGTTTAAAAAAAAAAAGAAAGAGTTTTCATCAAGAGCCACCGGGTTCGGATGGACCTTGAGCCGACTACGTCATAACATGTCAGGGTTTAGGGGTTTAGGGCTTAGAGTGCCCGATGTCTCTAAGGAGTACTCTTCGATGAGAATAAAGCACCCTACATATCCTAGGGCACAGCTACTCCTGAACAAAAGCATAGCGGGCTACGTGAAATGGGCCTCGCAGCTTCAGACATGTCCTTGAGCGTCGGGCGTGTTTCTCATGTGAGAGTGGGAGCCGGGAGGTGAATTTGGAAAGTGAAATGTGCAAAGACTTGCAACTCGACCCGTAAAGTAAGCTTCCACTGCTGCCAGTGCCACGAGCACTGCTACGTACCAACACGGCCGCGACTGCTTCTATCACTACCAACTAAGCGACCTCCACTATCACCACCACCACGACGACTACTGCGGCTACTACAACCACTACTATTCCTGCTACTGCTGCTGCAGAGTGCGAGGCTGGCAGACGAGCACCGCCTGGTCGTGGAGCCTGCGTGTGGAGCAGTCGGGGCCTCAGGTCGCGGTGGTCCTTCACGGATCTTCGGCTTAGGTTTTAGTTAGAGTTTAGGGTTTAGGCTTTAGGGTTTAGTTTTAGAGGGACCTTACACTTAAGGTTTAGCGTTGGGGGACGGGATTTAAGTTTGCAGGATCAGGAGTCTTCGAATACCTAGTACTTAGTTTTTTTGCACGCGTTGTAGGTTGACGCCAAGAGAATCCTTAACCTCTTAACTCAAAAAATATCAATCCAACGACTTTGTGCCTCAAGTTGTCATGCTCTCAGAAAAACCTGGCCTCCTACAACAGAAAACCCTAAGGTCCGGAAAAGGGAGCCGACGATCCCAATACCCCTGTACTTAAGGAATACACCCTAGGGTTCCTTTAAAGGGATCTATAGAGTTTAGGGTTTTTCAGAATTCTCATACCCCTTAATTAAGGAATATACCTTAAAGCATAGTAGGATCCCTAATAAGATTATGGTATATTCCTCAAAGAATATACCTTAAAGTATAGTAGGGATCCCTACTATGATTCAACGTACACTCCTTAAAGAATATACCTTAGGATCCCTACTATGATTCAAGGTATACTCCTTATTAAGGCAGGGATATTGGGGTCTCTGGCTCAGGCGCTTGCCGCAGTCACCGAGAGCTGCGAGTCCCTGAGAGGCTCCACCAGGGGCGCAACACATAGTCTCGGGGCCCTACTTGGAGGGTCTTTAGGGGACGTAGTAACTATAAGGGGTTCCTTTAGGGTTCCTTTAAATGGATCTATAGGGATTCTGTAAGGGTTTCAGGGTTTAGGGGACTTAGTAACTGGTTATTTTGGGGACTTATAAGTACCATAACCCCAATTAGGGTCCCTTTTAGGGTACTTATAAGTCTACTTACTAACTACTTACTAAGTACCCTGACCCACAAGTGGTAGTTCCTTCCAAGGGTTCCTTGAAGGGGCTTATAAGGGATCTATAGTTGGGTTATACCTGGTGGTTCCTTCAAAGGGTTCCTTGAAGGGGCTCTACGGTCGATGATATAAATCCTGCATGACCCATAATAAGGAGTATACCATAATTCCCATACTTTTAGGGTCCTTAAGGTGATGCAGGATTTTTACCATCAACCGTAATACCTGGTGGTTCCTTAACACAGGGTTCCTTGAAGAAGTTTATAAGGGATCTATATGGTAGGGTTCTATGGTATTGGGGTTTAGGAGTCTAGGGGCCTTGATAATTTCATAGGGATCCTTAGGGGTGTAGGGGGAGGGGGGGTAGGGGGCCTTAAGGCCCATAATAAGGACTAATAAGGCTTATTTAAGGAAATATAGTCCCCTACACCCCTCCCCCCTACACCCCTAAGGATCCCTATGATAATTGCCAATTAGAATCGGGTTCCTTTGCAGGGGTCTATAAGGGCGAATACAAGGGCTTCATAAGGACCTAGTATAGGGACCTTAATAATTTGCCAATACTCTTTTGGGGGTTCTGCATTATAGTTATAGCATAATGGGCCGCAGAACGCTATTCCAATCCTTATGGCCCCTATATACATCAAGTAGGTGGTTCCTGTCATTACTGTTGTTTAGTACTAACCGTAGAAATTTTTCGTAAGAGTAACAGACATGAAAAGCAATCGTACCTGTAACAATGCTCATAAGCATGATGGTAATGCAAGTAATAACAATCACAGAAATGCTAACAACAATACTGACAATACTGATATTGATAGTCGTAGTGGTACTAGTCATAATGGCACCTATAGTAACGTTTGGAGTATCCTGGGGTGTAGTTAAACCAGTGCATCGCATTCAAAACCAGTGATCTCAACCTTTTCTGATACGGGTGCTACAATGGCCTTGTCTGCATTATATGGGTTTCTGAAATGCAGGGGGTACCGTCAAAGAAGGGTCGTGATAACAAGGATGCTCCTATTTACGGTCTGTGACAGGTTCCCACACTTCTGCAGTCCGTAAAGGGGCAGCGAGGGCTTAAGCTCTACAACGGGAACGGGGTGACGTAAGAATCTTCTTGTTGCAGTCGCTTTCAATGGATTCCACCACGGATTTCGTGGCAGAGTAGCTCGGACCTCTTGTTGTGGGAATTTGCTGCCTCAGAGTGGGGGTAGAGGAAGTCGCATGATGTAAACACAAAAGTCTGCACCTGAATCTGTAAACCTGCTCTGTCTACTCTGTGAGGCATGCAGAAGATCGTCGTAGAGATTTGCGGTGGAGCCACCGGCTTAGTCTCAGATGGGCTTGGCATGAGAAGCGCAATGCTGTGTTCCATGCAGAAGGCTCCTTGATTGGCTGGTTGAGGGCAGAGAGGGGTTTCGAGGGGTTGCCACCACGTTACCATGAGGGTTACACTATGGACTCTTTGGGCATTCGGGTTTAAGGGTCGTTTCCCCAGATGGGAGTTTCCGAAAATAAGGGGACGCTAATATAGTACCCTAAATAGTAGCATCAGTATTATAGGGACCCCAAAAGAAAGTACCCCGCAACTTTCGGAGACTCCCAAACCCTAAACCCTATAGATCTCTTACAGGATCCCTTTAAGGAGCCCTGAAAGGATACCTTTAAAGGTACCCCTTTCGGGTTTAAGGGTAGTTTCCCCAGATGTTGACAGCAACGGTGAGCACTTGGGGGGTCGGGGGACTTAGTAACTGGTTATTTTAAGGACTTATAAGTACCATAACCCCAATTAGGGTCCCTTTTAGGGTACTTATAAGTCTACTTACTAACTACTTACTAAGTCCCCCGACCCCTAAACTCTAAACCCTATACTACCCTTATAGAGCCCTACCCTTAGAATCCCCTTTAAAGGAGCCCTTACTAAGTCCCCTAAAGACCCTCCAAGCAGGAACCTTGAGTCGCAAGCAGCCGACGGGCCGAGTTTTCTCAGAGCGCAGAAACTCTGAGTTGCACAGTTCGCATTCGCGGGACACAGGAACCATAATAAACATAAAGAATAGTCATAATACTAGTAATGGTTATGATAGTAATAGCTTCTTTTAATTTCAACAATACTAAGACTAGTTCTAGTACTAATAGTAATAAAGATAATAACAGGAACCAGAAACCGGGAATCCGCGTACACTTATACTGTTCAACAGGGTCAAACGACCAACATGCTTCCAGGCGGTTGTCAACTCTGCGCAGCTCTCTGAGTGGGCCGACCAGGTAAAGGCTGAGAGCTAGCTGCGCCCTGCGGGTGACAAAAAAGCAAAAGCTCTTTTCCTGCTTCCTCCTTGCACACTCCAAAGCTTTACCGTCTGCGAAGCCCCTGACGAAGAGGCGGCACAGCGCGGTCTGCCGGCGAGCAAGGCCGGTCGAGAATCTCCCGTGGGTCATCGAATCGAAGCTATGTGATTGGCCTGCAACCTTCCCTCTTTGCGTTGTCTTGCAGGATCTCTTGGATCAAGTGGCAGCCCAATCCTCAGAGCTATAACGGGAGTTTGCAACTCGTGCTGGCATGAGCCGTCATGACTGCGGCACAGGCGCGCCTAGACACGGCGGCCCGCATCCAGCAGATGCCTCAAAGCGGGGAAGATGCATAATGCCTTGGAATTTGCATCAAAATTGGGAGCTTCAATCCCCACCGCATAGGAAAATCACCCGGAGCCCGGATGCCAAGGCTGCCTCTGCAGCGAGAGATGGATCTTCTGATCCTCGACAGGCGGAGCGGGGAAAGGGACGAAGTGTGGCCTCTGCCACAGTAGCCATCATATGGGAGTTTCCGAAAATTAGGGGTGCCTTATTTGGGGGTCCTAATAATGGGGATCCTACCATTTAGGGTGCTATATTAGGGTCCCCTATTTTCGGAAAATCCCATATCAACATCATTACCATGGTCATCAGCAGTTGCCCGACTGCAGAGATCTTCGTTGAAGGATCCAGCACCGGCTCGTGCAACGGAGGTTGCACTGCATTGATATATCCTTTCACGCTTGGTCTTTCTATCTTATGCCCAACGTCCTCGAAAGGCGCAGCTTGACTTGGTGTCTGTCTGCATTTGCCAATTTGGTCCTGGTGTCTTCGGACAGGCGGGTTTCCGAGCGATGGCGGACGGCTGCACGTCAGAAGAGGTCTGCTGCGGTCAGGCTTCAGTACCGCTCGAGGGCATAAATTTAGCGCCTTAGGGGTTCACAATGCAAAAAGGGATCCTTACAGGGTACAATAAGGGATCAAAAGGGGTTTACCCTGGGGGTCCAAGTACCCAAATAGTAGGTTTCAAGGTCCAAAAACCAATCGGGTATGGATTTTGGGACCTAAGACCCTACCATTTGGGTACTTGGACCCTCTGGGGTATGGTCTACTATGGAAGTCAGGATTTTGCGGGGAACTGCCAGCACTCCGCCGGTGCCGCCAGGCAGTCTCTCGATGAGTCCGTCTGGAAGCTGCAGGACGCCTTCGCTGTGTGCAGAGTTTCTTTAGGTCCCAATCCCTCGATTCCCTAAACCCTAAACCCTATAAATCCTATAACCCTATAAACCCTATAAAACCTAAACCCTATAACCTAAACCCTATAAGCCCTAAGCCCTAAACCATTTAGACAAGGACTTGTACCAGTTGGCGGTGGACTTCAGCTTCTACCACCTCGTCCTCTTAATTGCGGACACCTGCTGCCTGCTGCATGTGAGTTGGAATCTTAGGGTCCCTTTTGTTCGGTCCCGACCTTTTTAAAAGGACCCTAAAAGGGACCCTAATTTAGAGAACTACCTATAGGGGTATCTTATACCAAAATTTTACAATCAGGAACCCAGGACCCTTGAATTAGGGGCCCAAACAATTACCAATACTGTTTTAGCTGCTCCTTACTATAGATATAGCATAATGGGCCCCAAAACCTTATTCTAATTATTAAGACCCCTATACTATAGAACCCTCCTCTAGATCCCTTATAGGGCTCTTCAAAGGAACCCTTTAAGCGGAACCCTATTCTAGTTGTTAAGGCCTGTAAATATGGAACCCAACTATAAATCCCTTATAGAACGGCATCCCTTTAAAAGGAACCCCAAAACCCAGAAAAAACCTAAGGACCCCTATATTGCTACTGCTTCTTTGCATCCAGCAGGACCTGTCCTCCACGATCCAAGAGCGCGAGGAAGGCCGGGTCCCTGCAGCCTCTGGGTCCATTCTTGGAGTTTCCGAAAATAGGGGGACCCCAATAAAGTACCCGACATGGTACTTGGAGGGTCGGGGGACTTAGTAACTGGTTATTTTAGAGACTTATAAGTACCATAACCCCAATTGGGGTCCCTTTTAGGGTACTTATAAGTCTACTTACTAACTACTTACTAAGTCCCTAAACTCTAAACCCTATACTACCCTGAAAGCGCCCTTTAAAGGAATCCTTAGAATCCCCTTTAAAGGAGCCCTTACTAAGTCCCTAAAGACCCCCCAAGCTGGATCCTCTGGGCTTCGGGTACTCAGGGAACCCTTCCCATAACCCAGACCCCCACGGTTTAGGGTTTAGGGTTTAGGGGGGAGGATCCCAAAAGTAGATCCCTTAATGGGGGGTTCCTATAAAGTACCCTTAGTAGTACAGGGCCCCATATTAGGGGATCTACGTTCTGGGTCCTCTTGGGAGTCTGGGAAGGTCTGTGCCATAATTCCCATAGTCCAGGGTCATGAAGGTAATGCAGGATGCACCCCGGGAACCCAATTCCGCTCAATTAAGGAATATACCTGAAATTATCGAGGCCTTAACAGTATGATGTAATGTATATTCCTTAATCAAGGGGTGTCGGGATTTCTGGGAAGCACAGCTTAAGAGACCAGAACATGTAGAAGAGCGTCTAGCATCTAGGGTTGAGGGTTTAGGGAGAACATTTAGAAGAGGCCTTAGGGTTTGAAGTTTAGAAGAGGGTGCCTTTAACGCATTCCGTTAAGCTATCCAGTTCACTAGTAGGTTATAGTACAGGGGCCTGAATGGTTACTTATAGTGTTCTCAGGGCATGTACTTTGGGGTCCTCAAAAGTAGGAACCTACTGCACAGACTAACAGACGAGGCCTCAGGGATTATAGTGATCCCTCCGCTTCGGGCTTACATCGGAGCTAGAGTGATGCTGCACCGAAGTGCTGCTGAGAGCATAAATCTGTCTTTTGTCGGGGTGCAAGGTGGATCTACGACCTTGGGAAAAAAAGACTGACTCCTAGCGAAGCTTCTTCGTCACACTTTGGCTGGTGTTTCTCTGCTCATGTAGAGCTTCCTAGCCATGCTGGCTGATGCCCAGAAGTTCCGGGTTGTCGGGTTTCGGTTGAGGGTTTATAAATGTATAAACGACTCGAAATTCGCGAGAAAATCGAAGTCTCAAAGACGGAAGCCAAGAGTCCTAGAGCATCACAAGCCTCGAGTTCATGTCCCGGCATTCCAAACCGTCCCCCAAGAAGCTCACAGAAGCTTCTGGAAGAGGCTTCTCAGCTTGGCTGCAGACCTTCCTACCGTCCCAGGCCACCAGTCTCTGGCTTCGGGTCTTGATATCGAAGAGTATCAAGATGTCTGTAGGATGAGGGCTTTTGCTTTTGGGGGAAGTATGTCGCGTCTTCTTGGGTTCTTCTTCTGCCTGTAGGCTTGGAGTCCTTTGCTGATCGGGTTCGAATCTTCGACACGTGTTGAGCGGACACTCTTGTCTGGTGATGGCTCAGGCTGTGTTGCCTGAGGGCTGCCGTGAGAGCTCAGCTGGCACTGCTTTCGGTGTTGGCCGCTGTTGGTGACCATGCCTTCATCAACCATTTGTCCATCAAAGCAGAACCCGTCCCCCAGAAGTTGTCGAAGCGAACATTCTACGCAAATATCCTTAAACCCCCCCCCCCCGAATCCCAATCCGAAACTTGGAGCAGGCCACGCCCTATAGCATCGGGGAGCTGCAGGGTACTCTGCAAGCCACGTCACCTCGACTTGCTTCCTTTCACGAAGGTGGTCTTCAGTGAGGGAAGTTTGAAGGCATCGACCATCGATATAGCAGGAAAGGGAGAAAGCTGCCAGCATTCACCGTCTGGAGAGCCTTTGCTGCCTGCCTAACATTTCAGGACGGAGCTGCACTACGTCTTGTTCGGACAGCCTTCCCTTTCCTTCACGGAGTCAACTTCGAGACAGCTTTGGTGCGATGTCTTCTCCGGGTGCCATACAAGGAAGGGCGTTCAGCTGGAATGTATGCCAAATACCCATATTGGTACCTTTATGGATCCCTTATAGGAACTCTTCTGGATGCCCTTTAAAGGAACCCCCTCAAAAGCTCCGGTCTCTGCTTCTTCTGCACTGCCAGGGCCCACGGCCTCTTCCCACTTCTCATGGCCCGGAGCTTCAGGAGAGGAGAGCCCGAGTGGTTGCTTCTACTTAAAGGTTCATGGGTAGTTATAAGTGGGGTTATAAGTAGGGTGACCATAATGATAACCCATATTAGGGGACTTATAACTCCACTTTTTTCTGTCCATGAACCTCCAAGTAGACCTCAAGCTCGGATGTTGCAGAGCTGTTCTGGCGCGATACCGATCCTTGTTCAAGTGCACCTGGTAGCACTCTGCGCTTCCGAACTCTAAGCAAGTTGGACTAAACGGCTCCCTCCCCAAAAAGAGGTGGCTCCTGAGGACCTAGAGTAGGCCCTAATTCCCTTTTTAAGGGTTCAGGTTCCCTGACTTTCTATTTCTAGGTTACTCTTGGGTCTAGTATAATTAACCATCTATAACCCTGGACCTAGGCTCCCTTGACACTCTAACCCTAAGCCTCAAACCCTAGACCCTTATTTCGATAAGGGTTGAGGGCTTCTGCCAGTGTTTGGTCTAGTTTAGGGTTCAGGGTTCAGGGATTTTCCCGGTGAGGGGATTTAGATTAAGCTACCATAACTTAGGGTTCCTTTCAGGGTTCTATAAGGGTTTAGGGCTCCGCAAAAACCCTAAACCCTAAACCCTAAAACCCTTTTACCCCCAAAAGAGGTGGCTCAGCTGACCTGCAAGTGCTTAAAGGCTCATGGGACTTAGTAAGTAAGGTTATAAGTAGGTTATAAATAGGATAACCCCACTTAGGGGACTTATAACCCCAATTATAACCTACTAAGTCCCATGATCCTCGAAGTTGCCTAACCCACCCTTTATAGAATCCCTATATAGATCCCTTAAAGGAGCTCTTTAAAGGAACCTACTTACTAAGTCCCATGATCCTGCAAGTGTTTGAGGTGCGGAGATCGGCAAACTTCCTGCTCCAGACGAGCGAGCACCGGGCTCAGAGCTCTCAAAACATTAGGAAGCTTTAGGGTTCAGGGGTTAGGGTTTAGGGGCTTTAGGGTTTAGGGCTTTAGGGGTTTAGGGTTTAGGGGTTTAGGCTTTAGGGGTTTAGGGTTCAGGGGTTAGGGCAAGCATAATACTTACCTGTTAGTTAGGCCCCAGAGTAGGCCCTTATTCCCTTTTTTAGGGTTCAGGTTCCCTTATAAGGCCCTTTAAACCCAAAAGGGCATCCTTTTTATGCCTGGGTTACTCTGGGGTCTAGTTAGAATAGGGTTCCTTTAAAGAGGTCTACAAGGGATATTATCAGGATTTAGTATAGGGGCCTCCATAATTACCAACACTATTTGGCGGGGGGTTCCTTATTAGAATTATAGTATAATGGGCCCCCAAACCCTATTCTAATTATGAGGGCCCCTGTAGTGCTTTGTTCTTACATGATCTGGAACTGTCATAGCTGCAACTACCTTGTCTCACTTTACGAGTTTGGGAACTTCAGGAATTCTTGTTCAGCTCCTCCCTTCGAACGCCATGTCCCGAGGAGCACCGCACATTTGAGCGACAGACCCTAGAAATAGGGGACCCTAATATAGTACCCTCGGTGGTAGGATCCTTATTATGAGGCCCCCAAAAGAAGGTACCCTAAACCCCATAAATCCTTATCAACCCCATACAAACCCCATACGTTTAAACCACTCTGAGCCCATATCAACCTCATCAACCATTTGAGCCATTTCGAAACCGAGCAAACGTGTCTTAAACAAGCTCTCAGCCCTGCATGCACCCCATCTAGAGGCCATGTCTCCAACCTCCGGCAGATCTGGCCAAGCCCGAGGAGAGGAAGAGTGCAAGCAGCGCAAGTAGTATATTGGCCATGATAATTAGAATAGGGTTTTGAGGCCCGTTAGATTTCCATAAGGAACCACCAAAATACTACTGGTAATTATTTGGGCTCCTATATTCGGCGAAGTGGCAGAGTAGGTAACCTTTAACCTTTTTGGAGTAATACACCCCCTATCTAATCCCGAAGGCTAACCTGACGTTCCGCCAGGATACTGGACAAGTAAGAGTAGGAATCTTGTCTCAGATGTTGTAAGGCTTTGGGGGTACAAGCTTGAGGGTCCAAGGTTTGTAGTGCAAGTGTAGTTTAGAGGCTTCATTTTGCTATTATATTGTAGGATGGCCTTGTATGCACGGTAAGAGGCTGTTATGGAAGGGCTTTTGCATGAAAGAATATTGTCAAGCAGAGCTCGACCGCACCAGCAAAGCAAGCTTAGCGTTACATGAGATTCGTCCTGGATCGTCGCGACAGCCCCAAACCCTAAACTAGACCACAAACGCCAAGCCCTCAACTTCCTTAGCAGTCACACCCTAAACCCAAAACTCTAAACCCAAAACCCAAAACTTCCGCAGGACTTCCAAGTACGTGCCGGGCCCTCGTTGCGGGATTCGGTGTGGACTCTGCTTGGGGGGTCGGGGGACTTAGTAAGTAGTTAGTAAGCAAACTTATAAGTACCCTAAAATGTACTCTTACTACAAAGGGGCTACTCAAAACCCTAGGGAAGTCTCAAGGATTTCAGGTTGCGGCAAGATATGCGACTCCGTCTGAGGATGTAGCTTGGGTTGGCCAGTACTTTCGAAGGTCCGTTGATTTCGGTTCAGAATAGGATGGCTGATACGACTTCTGGCCAACAACTTTACGAACATCGTCCGCGGACTGCGGGGTAGTTCTCTAAATTAGGCTGAACGTCACCCCAATCCCGACAACTAATATGCGAGTTTCGGAAAATTGGGACCCTACGATAGTAACCTTTAGGATCCCTACTATAAGGACCCCAAAATACGGCACCCCTAATTTTCGACAACTCCCATATCCGGGCCCCAACAACTACAAATACTCTTGTCGGTCGGTCCCCTATTATAACTGAGCCCAGAGCCCTGATCCAACTCTTGAGGCCTCTACTTGGAGGTTCATGGGACTTAGTATGTACAGTTACAAGTGCCTTAACTGGGGATATAAGCAACTATAAGTATAGTTACACATTTTTGATAACCCTAGGTACTAAGTACCATGAGCCTCTAAGTAGACCCTAACCCCTAAACCCTATAGATCCCATTCAGGAAGCCTATAGATCCCTGTAAGGAGCCCTTTAAGGAACCATAGTTACTAAGTAGCATGAACCTCTAAGTAGGGGTTACTATAAGGGATCTATACTAAGGGTACTATAATAGTGTAGGAGCCTGATTAAGAGACCCTGGGCCTGTATTATTAAGGTTCCTTATATGAACCCTACTATTTTGGGGTTATTAAGGCCTCTACATCACCTTGCAAGGGACAATGATCGATGCTTTGTCTTTCTCAGGTCGTCCGGCTCCTTGCCGAGCTCTCTGAGGACGGACCTAGTAGGTCTTTTGTGGGGCAGAACCAAACATATACGGACCCTCGCAGGCCTTCCACAACCTGCAATTAATTTTGTGTGGCCTTCTTGGCTTTGAACTTTGTGAGTCTAGAGACTTGGGTTTAGTTGTAAGGGTTAGGGGTAAGGGCTTTGGGTCTACGTAAGCCAGCTCATGCACATGTTGCGAATTCCTTTTCCCGAAGGCGTCAGAGAAGAGAACGATCAGATTTGATTTGAGTGTTGCTATGTTGTAGGAGAGTGCTATGAAGCCTGACAGAGAATGACCCCCGAAACGCTACGTGATAAACCTTGCCTGACCCCAAACCCAAAACCCTAAAAACCTAAACCGTTCCGCATCCCAGAGCCCGATTGTACCATCAGTACCTGTAGAAAGATGGTCCAGGTTTGTAGGGATTCCGTGAGCTAGCGATTTCAGATGCCGATCTCAGACGGTTTGGGGGATGGGTGGGTACTTTAGAACCCCTGCAGAGCTCTGCGTAGGCCTTGAAAGCCGGAAGTCCGCTCTTGGAGATCGGAAGCGCCACTTGGCCCTGACGACTCCACCATCGCTGAGAGTAAGGAAGAGGGCCTTGAAGAGTGGAACAGGCTTCATTTAAAGGGTTCCTTTTGAAAGGCTTCTAGAAGGGTTTGGGGTTTGGGTTGTATCGATTCTTCTACAGGGGCCTTAATGGTAAGGACAGGGATTTGGGGTATATTATACTGTAGTTGTAGTTATATAGGAACCCCCAAAGAGTATTGGTGATTTGTTACATCCCTAGGGTATTCGGGTGTAGAGTGTCAGGGTTTAGGGGTTAGGGTGGGGCTTGAGGGATAAGTGGGGGGTTCAGGGCTTCAGGAGTACAGGGTTGAAGATTTCTGACATCTTGATGTTTTTCGCAGGCTTGAGTTGAAAAGGGACGGCAGGAACATGTAGGAACCTGATTAAGAAACCTTGGGCCTTTATTGGGGTTCCTTGTATGAACCCTATTGTTTTGGGGTTATAGGCCCCGGGTTCCTTCATCGGTTTCCTACATGAGGGTGCGACCAACAACCATGAAGCCCTAGAGGTCGAAAAACATACCTTTGGTTAGTAGGGAATGGAGGAATGGTAGTACTAGTAGTTATAACTTTACCCATTCCTCCATTCCCTACTAGCCAAAGGTAAGAAAACAGGCTGGGATTCCCTTTGCCAGGATACTCACAGAAGAGACTTTCAAAATAAGGGTCTGACGAGCCAATCATGGTTTTTCAGGGAGTCTGGAGGCCTAAGCCCTCTTCCCTTATAGAAGTTTATGTTGGAGGGCACGGTATCAGACAATACCACAATGTGAGTTTCATGATACTCCGAAAATACCCGAAATACGGCAATATTGCCACAATGTTATTGTACAAATACTAAAAGCAAATTACACTACAGGATTACTATAATGCCATATTCATGCGGCGTTTTTCTACATATATACACTATATATTTACCTATACATATACAAATACACATACATTTACATATGCACATATATATATATATACACATAAATGCATTTTTTTACAATGCTACAATATAATAACACGGAACTACTACCATAATATTGTTTCATGTTATTATAATAACAATACTATGACAGTACTACGATGAAGTTAGAATGCTGCGAAAAGTGCGCCCGAAACCCTGAATCCCTGAACACACAAATGTTTGAGACACACTGAAGCCCGAAAGCCTCTCTGCAACCATGAAATCCCAGAGACCTCTCATGAGAGGTTGTCACCTTGCTGGAGTACTGCAGCTGCGCCTGGCGGAAGGCGGGAAGTTTGGGGTTTATGGTTCAAGGTTAGGAGTAAGAGCCTAGGTTCATGGTTTGAGGCGTGGGCATCCTCATAGTCGTATCCGAGTTGTACAGAAGAGGAGACCTGCGTTTTTGCAGACCACTCTCTAATTGTGAGCCCCTCAATGTGGAGCCCCTAACTGTCTTCACAAACCATATTATTGACAACCTCTCCTGTAAAAATCGGAGAACAGAAAAATCTCCTGTGTAGTGGAGTTGGGGGGGAGTTCAAAGTGAGAACGTCTCTAATGTAGGGCCTATATTCCTCAGGGTTCCTCTAGATATATAAGAGGCCCCAAATCCTCACCTGACGATTGAGGCCCCTAAGCTACAGAACCGGTGCAACGTCTTTCCCATGCGGAGAACCCCCAAAATGGGCTGTCGAAGCTTCTCTGGACCCGCCTTGGAGAAAAGGAGTTCAAAACAAAAAACCCTAAACCCTAAACTCCCTAAACCCCAAACTCCCTAAACCCAAGCTCCTTAAACCCTAAACCCCTAAACCCTATCCCTTATAGTATCCCTTATAGATCCCTTATTGTAGACTTCTGCAAAGGAACCCGAATGCCCAGGCGCTGAAGCAGGTTCCAGGCAGCCCCAGCACGGAGAAGTGCTGGGTGCCTCTGCAGGCCGGAGAGTTTCGCGAGACATGCCCAGGGTTGTGGGGGTTTGGGGGGTTTAGGGTTTAAGGTTCAGGGTTTAGGGGTTTAGGGTTTAAGGCTTTAGGGTCTAGGGTTTTAGGGTTTAGGGTTCAGGGATTATTTCAGGGTCTGGGGCCCAGAGAACCCAAGGTGGCTTTGAATGAAGGAAGATGCCCTAGGGTTCCTTTCAGGGATCTATAGGGATTAGGGGTTCGTATCCCCCTCGATGAAGGAATATACCTTAAATCATAGAGGCCTTAGTAATATGATTTAAGGTATATTGCTTTATTAAGGGTATTGGGATCTCTGGGCGTTTGGAGGCTTAGAAGTTACAAGGTTCTTCGAAGTATTTATAGGGTTGCCTAAAGTGAATTAAGGTCCTCGCCAGGAAGTCTCTTCAAGATTCTGAGCATCTTCATTGTAGCGCATTTTAGGGTTTCCTATCCTCTGACACTCCCACACAGCGGCCCGAGCAACTAAGAAATCTTCGTCTATTGGCTTCCCTTATATGTATTCGGAGCAACAGCTGTAACATCCCCACGAAGCCTTGTTTCGGCCTCTGTGTAGGGTTCCTTTTCGGAGATTCAGGACCGCGATGACAAAGTGTCGACGGGATGCTAGCATACCGGAAGACTATGAAACTCATTATGCAAGCAGATAACGTCTTGGCCGTATTCGAGTCCCGGTGGACGATTGCGCGGGTCGCGTATCCTTTTTGTTGGTAGCCTTGTATAGCCGTGTAGGCGTAGAGTTTCCTGTTACCCGTAGCACGGGCTCAAGGGTAGATGAGGCCCCTACTGAGTGTGCTGCTCTGTTGCAGCCAAATCCATAGCACTCAACCGTGGCAATGGCCATGGTTCACAAACCATAGCCTACCCGAAACCCCCCAAACGTGTGCCCACCAGGATGGCACCTGCGGCGCGACTTCGCACCCGGGTAACGCCAGTTGGTGGAGCGAATGGTGGAAATTGTGGATTAAAATATCCACAATGGACCCCGCCGTGGATTCCGGGGAGGAAGGACCGCGAGAGGATGATCCCTCACCACCTTGGTTCCTCCGAGTCGCGATGAAATTCCTGCTCATGTTTGTAAAAGGGGGAATCGAATACTGTGGAATACTATGCGTCTCCATAGGCCTGGCAGCCAAATGAGTCTACTGGCTTATGGCGGGCATGGTACTGGTGGCCCTCGCGCAGCTGGCCTACTGGACCTATGTTTGGGTCCTTCGGCCACTGACGCGGTTCGCCTACGTCTTGGCTCAGTACCTTGTGGGCCGCGCTCCGTGGGATGAGGTTTTGACCCACCACGGCCGCACGCCATTCCGACTTGTGTGGTACGGACCCACGGGACAGGTGGCTTGGACCGCCCAGTACATCCAGGACAAAGTTCGAGGCAGAGGAACCTGCCAAGCCCCCTTTGACTTGTTGGTCACGGATGGGACTGCACTTGCCCGCACTTGTCCGCCTGCGGCACGGCACCATCCGCGGACGCACAAATCGACATGGGTTTACCTGCCCCTGTGACACGGTGCATGGGAGCTCACACCGCTACTGGCGGCACTCTCTGGAGGGAGCGAATTGCCGGGTGCATCTCTGCTCCCAATCACCTTGCACCGCACCGGAAGCTGCTGAGGTGCATGTCACCTCAAGCTCTGTCGGTGGAGCTGGACCTCACAGAGCTGGCGGGGAAAGGGCCATTCGGCAGGTGCCTTACGGCTACGTGGCTTCTCAGCGCCCAGGGGTATTACCTCTGGAAGTCGCTGGGGGGCTGCGTTTGCTCCTTCCGGCGCAGGTGTTGTCAGTTTTGTGGCTGTGGCTCACACCCGCGGCGCGGTCCGCGCCCGGGAGGGGAGAACGGCCCAGAGCCCTCCCGTCTCCTGCATGAGTGGTCGGAGACGGAGAGTGAAGGCGACGATCACGCACAAGCGTGCCAAGCCGACCAGCTTGCGTGGGAAGAAGGGGGGAAAACCCACGCATTGTGCAAAGAGCCATGCAAGGACCTGTCCCTCGGAGACAGTATCCAGGTCTTGCCGGCGGACCTGCGCGTAAGCGATAAAGCCGGGTTACAGGAAGAAGACGGCGTTTGCTATGCCCGGTTATGCCCCAGGCATTCCGCCCAATATGGGCACGCGAGCGCACGACGCAAGTGTGCAGTTGAGGGCTGCGTGGAACTTAGCCGGACCACCAAAGGTGGGGTAAGGCTGTGTAAGCTCCACGGGGCCAAGGAGGAACGCAAACCCCCTACCAGTTCACACCCAAAACGACCATCAGAGCTCGAAAAACATGTCTCGCGGCGTGTTTCCACGCCCGGGGATGCAGGGGCCCCGGCTGACGCTCCTGTGACTCCCAGGAACTCCCAAACTAAGCCTCGCAGTACCTCAACTCCACCGGGAGTGGGACGAGCACAGGGAGAAACAGAGCCGCAGCTGCTTAGCCTCACTTGGGACGAGGTCGCGAACCTGCCTGATCCCGCGACGCGCCTGAGGGCAATTCGCGCTAAGACGGGAGCCGGACGGGACTCCGAAGAGAGACTCGAACCGCCAGGGGACGCGAGCATCCGAGCAGAGGCTCTGGGCAAGCTCGTGCGCAACGTTGCATTGGGACAACCAGCGGCGAAGGCTTACGCAGCTGCATGTCAGGAGTATGGGCTTGACCCGTTTCAGTGGGCCGCTCGGGAATACTTGCCTCGGCTCCCCATCCAATACCCGCGGCTTGCACGAAAGGTCCTTCAGGAGATCGCCGAGCAGGGACAGCCTCAGGAGCACGACCCTGTGCTCGGAGCGTTTCACGCCTACTTGCAAGGGACCGACGGGAGCGGAGGGACTGAGTTTTCAGCAGGTGCTCCTCCCTTCGTTAGCGGGGAGCCGTCACCCCGCCCTTACCTTATATGGGGGAGTAGACCCTCCGCCGGCTCGTTCCGAGCCCGGGATCTCTGCTCCCCCTATTGAAGTCGGGCAGAGCGCTCCCCCCAGTGAACGTACTCCCTTCGCAGCCGCAAGTCTTTTCCGGCCACGGGAAGAGGGACCCAGCGCGCATGGGAATCCCTCCCCTACAGGGCCCCTCATGCAAGCGAGCACGTTGCCAGGGGGGTATCAGGTTCTCGCCAACGCCGTGCGGCCCTTCCATGCGGGAGCATACACTGATGCTGAACCGCTCACTTGTCAAAGACGACCAAGGGCAAGAGAAGGGGAAACTATCAGCCATCGGGCGTCAGGAAGAACGGCTTGTCTTCCTCTTGCGAGGCTGCGACAGCTTGGACGTGCCACTTGCCGCAGGCGTGGTGGGCAAGGAGCTTTACCACAGTTTGCGGGCTGCGGCTACCCAAGCCAGGCCAAAGTTATGGCAACTTAGGTTTCCAGTTAACTTGACCAACCGCCTGTGCTACGCGCTGGCATCGGCAAGCTTCGGAGCCAAGGATGTTAAATCCCTGCCGCTGCATTGTGGGTCCGCCGCTGATTTTCCGCAGACTGAAGAGGCAGACTTCGATGCCTATTCTAGCCCGCCGGATCTTAAACTTGAAGCAAGGCCACGAGGACCCACGACTGTCAGCACTTGGCTGAGGAACGCTTTGAGGCAAGCATGGGGGCTGGCTTGTGTCTACGGACAACAGCATTACGCCGTCTGGGAGGCGGCAGCTCTCCACCTGACTAAGCTGGGAGAGGAGCACAGTTATGCTTGGCCGGCGCATGTTATTTTCGATGTGTGGGAAGAGCTCTGGGCCCGCTTCTTCGAAGAACTTCGCGAAGTTGACCGTGACCTACGACGTTTGATGCGCGAGGAGTCCCCGACTTTTGACCGCATGAAATTTGTTGCCACTGCCCCCAATGCTGAAGGGCGACCCTGGCTGCGGCTTCCGGGCACTTTCCGGCTGGAGGATCCACGAGAATACTTCACGACAGATGTGCTGGATAGACTCCAACGCCAACTGTCGCGCGCAGCGTGGGCTCAAGTCCTTCGCGGGCCAGCGCGAGCCGGCCTCCCGGGAGGAGGTGGCAGGGCTGGAGACGCCTCAGCGGACGGGCAAGCTGGACACCGGGGAAGGCGGACGACCCGCCCACGCGTGCCGGTGGGGCTGCGGGTAAAGGCGGGGGCCGCCCCCTGTCCTCATCGGCCCGGGTCTCACCCCGAAAGAAACCGCCCGCGCGCTCGAACACAGATTTCGGGATGCGGACGGGCATTTTCAGTGCTGGGATTTCTTCACCCATCGTGGGTGCAGGAAACCTGACTGCAGTCTGTCACACAAGTGCTCTGTCAAGTGGAAGGCTCTGGACTACTCCATTAAACTGCAGCTCCTCCGTCGGGGGGGGTTGCGCAGTACAGCCAAGCGATCCGCTGACGAGCTCGTTAAGGAAATGACTGGCCTGCGCAGCCTGGAAGCCCAGGACCAGGCCGCTAAGATCCAGGAAGGTGGGGGCAGGCGCAGGCCGGGTCGGAAAGCCAATCGGGCCGGGGACGCGACGGGAGCCCCCCTGCCGAGCCATCTCCTGATCCCACACCCGGAACCCGGACAGGCGAACTCGGCGCTTGCCGGACCTGCTCACCGTTTTCGTCCGGAACTACCTGCTCCACCATGATTCGCCAGCCTCCCCGCAAGAGCGACTGCAGGCCTGTTTCCAGGTCGCAACTACTCTTGGAGGGCCGGAGCTGGCCTCACAGGCGGCTGCGTACCTCGACTCCATGTCCCGTGCTGGTTCTGTCGCGGCAGCTGCCACTGTGGGACGCATCAGCTGGGACGGGGGCCGTCTGGGTCGAACGGCGCAAGCAGAAGGGGCGAGAACGGGCCGCTCGCCACAGGGAGGCCGAGGAGAGAGCGGCGGCCACTAGTGTGATCGCCGACCTCCCCGTCGATCAGCGGGGCCCCGCTCTGGATGCCGAAATGGACCGCCGAGCCCGCGAGGAGTGACCGAGTTTCGGCGGATGCTTCGCGATGAAGCAAGGGCTGCTCGGCCCCATGACCAGAAGCCTAGGCAGAAGGACTCCAAGCGCGGA